CTCTGACTGCTCTAATAGAGTTATTACTAATTTTGGCCTTACTAACTACTATGCAGTTCAGAATGAAATCGACTAGGGTGAAACTATTACCCCACTTTTTGGCAGATCTACTATGACCCACTTATTTCAAAAATATCACTACAGCTACCAGGATACACTATGCAAACATCTTGGTGGTCCAGCCTCACTCTACCTTCTACTAAATGATTACAATGCTTAATATCAGTACTTGCCTATATAGATGATACTCTTTGAATAGCCCAATCTAAAAGCAATTTGAAAAAAATAATTGAAACAGCTTCATCATTCTACAATATAGCCAATATCCAAATCAACCCCTCATATTTAACCAAACAACAGCTAATATTTAATTTCTACAAACAAATTTAATACTAATACCTTTTAACCAGCCTTTTAAATTTTTAGGATGCTGGTTTACACTCAATAACAAATATACTAAACAGGTTAAACTAATCCAAGAAGAGGCTCTCAACCTAGCATATATAGCTAATGCAAAAAAGATAACAGACAAGCAAATAACTTATGTCATTAATACAGTTATTATACTAACAATAAAATACAAAATCTATAATATCGTTAACCCACAATCAACTTGTCTCAAAATATTAGGCAAATACCTTACTATCACCAAATACAAAGCCCACCTATCCCATTCAATCTCCAATAGTATAATGCTTAATCACAACATCTACAACATCCACAATATCTGGGATATACAACTTTAGTACCATACTAATAACTTTCTACTTAAGTTATATTGGCATAACCAGGTATTATTTTATAATATTTGTATTTTTTTCTACAAAGTAGACGTTATTTTATGTGATATTATGAGCACAAGTTATGCCTTATTTTTTGTTTGGTTTATCTCACACTTTGTCTATTAATATATATCTTCCACTTCATCTATTAGTATATATAATATTGATAAAATAGAATACTTGAGTCTAGTGATTATTACATTATGTGAAATCATGCAATTATGTCATTTTCTTACTAGCACTAAACAAAATTACCTTAAACTAATCTATTATCTAATTTAAACGCTAACCCTAACATAGGCCAAACACTTAATTATGCATGTGATTATTATAAAAATATCACTGGGTTTCTTAAGAGTAGGGTAAATGTAGATCATTTCTTATATAAATAGATCAACCAAAAAAATATTACACAAAAATCGAACACATGTTATATATGAAAGTTTTTAAAAATATAATCAATTTTTATAAAAATTTTGGGGTAGATATATTAGACCCTCTAATTTTAATTATAATAATTTGAACCCTGTATTATTTAAAAAAAAACATACTTGCATATATTATTAATTCTTCCTAGGGTGATCGAAATTTGACTAGATTATACAATATAAATAACATATGATCTTTACCTGATTTCAATTAAATGTTATTGTAAAAAAATTAGTAACATGATCACTAGTAAAAATAATCAACATTCACCCTACTCTTAATCTCCCTATTTTGAGCTTCTTACTATTTTAAAAACCCATATTATAAAAATTTTGTTAATATCTAATCATTGCTTCATAATCATGTAGTAAGAATATATCATGGTTGTATTTTAGTGTAATAATTTGATTATACAGTTGTCCTCCCATATAATTATCTAATTTATCTAGTGCTTTTTTTTTTTTGGCATTAAGGTGAGGCCTTGATCATATCTTTATTGAGTAATTTATATAAGTAATTACATAAAAGCTATATAAAAACTAGATTTGTATAATAACAAGTATTTATAAATTACATGCAAAAATGAGAGCTCAGACTAAAAGCTAAAGCTAATTATCTGCAATCTAAATCTACTAGAGTGATCAAGACTTATCTAGATTTTAATAGTAAGTATGTGGTTTGTAGAAGTACTAAATTGTATCCATGATGCAGTGATGATATTGGACAATGTCCAAATAAATTTAATTGGATTTTTGGACATTTGGACATTGGACATATGTCCAATATGTCCAATTAATTCAAATAATTTTTTTGAATTGTTAGACATTGGACAATGTCCAATAAATTATAAAATTAATTAGACATATGTCCAATTAAATAAATTGGACATATGTCCAATTGTCCAATAATTTTATTTGATAAAATTCAATAATATAATGAGTGGCTAATTATAATGTATGTTAAAAAAAAGTGTGAGCTGCATCTAGCAACTCTACACTAATATACTCAAAAACTATACTAATTTTACTATATATACTATATACGCTATGTACTATATGTAGAACATGTACACTACGTATATACGAAGGTCTTTCTATCTGAGGTAACAATTGTCTTTCGCTTACTGTTTTTAGAATAAAATAAAAAAAAATATACTAATGCTAATACTAACTAAAAAGGAGATAATAAAGAAAATAAAAGAAATTTTGTAAATATAAAAGGAACTTTGGTGAAATGATGTCGCCGGAGCCTTTTACAATGTACAGTACTAGGGTGATAAATCAAATAAGTTATCAAAACTATGTCAGGCATATTAGTAATTTTACTATGATCAGATTTTTATTAAGTAAAGTTAAAAATGATCGATCGAACGATTTTATAATTTTAATTATAAAGAAAAGCGCAAAATTTTAAATGATTCACACAAATATTGTGCTTATTGTTCTAATTTCTTTCAATTGAAAACGTTGCGTCAGAACTGCTTCAAAACAACTTTGTTTGATTTTTTTCACAAAGTTCTAATTAAAATTTGAACTTTATATTTAAGATAAATTTTTTCGTGCCAATTAATGAAATTTAAAACATTCTATAAGACAAATCCCCCAAATTACATATTAATAAAGATTTTTGAAACATAGCTTTATTCTTGGCCATTTTATTAACAACTTGTGAAAGTTTCATGGTAATTTGACGTCTTGGTAATAAGCCGAATCATTTGGAATATATCAATTAATAACGATAATAATGTATATTAATTAAATCGTACAGTACATATACATATACCATTGAAATGATCATCATGTAACATGAAAAATCTGCAATTTTGATTACTTAGCCGATTTATCATCCTAGTACAGTATGTATGTGTGTACCACATGAGATGTAGAAGTTTCCAGAGCGGATTCTGCTTCCTTTTAACATATACTATAATAAGTCAGAATGCATAAATTATTTCGATTCATGCAGGGTTTGAATTAACTGGTAGTGGGGTTAAACACTTAGATTTATGCGAAGTTTGGATAACATGATCGTTACAATTATGCAAAGGCATTACCATAATTACATGCCATATAAGAATGTCATATGAAATTTTTTTATAAGCGCATTTATTTTTAAATAACCCTTATATAACCACATTTTCAATATAAAATCATTTTTTATAAAGGTTCAAAGTACCGATGGTGTAATTATAGGAGAATACAACTTATTTTAATACTTTTTTGATTTATACAGGGCTTGGACAGCAAGATCATTATAATTAGGTAGTGTGCGTTACAACAATTATTTTAATGTCTTCGATTCATGTAGGGTTCAGGATTTAGATGACATAATCATTATAAGCGGATAGTGGTGTTGCTATAATTACTTTAATATCTTCGATTCATGTAGGTTCAGAGTTTGGATAGCATTATCGTTATAATCAGTAGTATGCATTGCTATAATTACTTTAATATCTTTGATTCATGCAAAGTTCAGAGTTTGGACGACATGATCATTATAAGAGGTAAGTGGGCATTATTTTAATGTCTTTAAATCATGTAGGGTTCAGGAATGGATGGCATAATCATTATAATCAGGTAGTGTGCATTACTATAATTACTTTAATATATTTGATTCATGTAGAGTTCAGAGTTTGGATGGCATAATCATTATAAGAGGTAGTGGCGTTATTTTAATGCCTTCAAGTCATGTAAGGTCCAGAGTTTGGATGGTATAATCATTATAATCAGGTAGTATGCGTTACTATGCCTGCTTTAATATCTTCGATTCATGTAGAGTTCAGAGTTTGGATGACATGATTATTATAAAAGGTAGTGGGCGATATTTTAATGTCTTTAAATCGTGTAGGATTCAGGGATTGGATGGCATAATCATTATAATCGGGTAGTGTGCGTTACTATAATTACTTTAATATCTTTGATTCATATAGAGTTCAGAGTTTGGACGGTATAATCATTATAAGAGGTAGTGGGCGTTATTTTAATGCCTTCAAGTCATGTAGGGTCCGGAGTTTGGATGGCATAATCATTATAATCAGGTAGTATGCGTTACTATGACTGCTTTAATATCTTCGATTCATGTAGAGTTCAGAGTTTGGGTGACATGATCATTATAAAAGGTAGTGGGCGATATTTTAATGTCTTTAAATCGTGTAAGGTTCAGGGATTGGATGGCATAATCATCATAATCGGGTAGTGTGCGTTACTATAATTACTTTAATATCTTTGATTCATGTAGAGTTCAGAGTTTGGATGGCATGATCATTATAAGAGGTAGTGGGCGTTATTTTAATGCCTTCAAGTTATGTAGGATCCAGGGTTTGGATGGCATAATCATTATAATCGAGTAGTATGTGTTACTATAATTACTTTAATATCTTCGATTCATGTAAAGTTCAGAGTTTGGATGATACGATAATGGTATTGGGCGTTATTTTAATGCCTTCAAATGCAGGTTTCAGGGTTTGGATGGCATAATCATTATAATCGAGTAGTAGGCGTTACTATATTCAATTTCTTTAATATCTCTGATCTTTCTAAGGTTTAGGGTTATTGTCCAATTTGTATGTATTTGCTATAATAAAAGTGAATTATGTTAGTTTGTCAATTAATATGTGTCTCTCTTGAGTTGACATTTTTTCTTGGGCAAATAACCTGTATATGCACAATGCATATGCCAAACTTCAGAGAAAGAATGATAATAACTACAATTATTGTTTCGATTACTTTTATATAGTGGTGTTATTTTTATATATTTTTTTTTTAACATCAACTTTTTTTAATTTTTACAATGGGCAGAAAACAACACAGGCTAACTAACTTATTTATCATTTTGGATGAGAAAGCTAATAAATCTAATAAGTTTTCCGTTTGCAAATTTTGTATTAAAGGTTCTACATATGAAGAAGCTTATGAAAACCGAATTACTAATACGCAGCGAGAATGCAGGCGCCATCTTATTTCTTGTCAATACTTCATTGCAGAATATCCTAGTGAAATAATGCGCAATAAAGTTTTAAATCCAACATTGACAAATAAGGATCCTCAAGAAAGTGAAAGCGAAAGTGAAAGTGAACAAAGTTTTGGAAAGTATTTATTTACTAACATTAATTGTTATGACAGCTTATGCTGAGATTTGTTTAAGCTGGGATTTTGGTTTCTATTTAAACCTATAATACCTACCATACTTTTTTATTAATAAAACTATCTCTAAAATTTAAATTCTAACTTAAGCAGCCACACGTATTTAACTTAATCTAATTTCAGTTAATTTATTAAAGAAATTTCTAGTGAAAACAATTCAAATAAATGAGCTCGATTAATAGCTTTAGACCAGTTAGGCTTAAATATAACGTTAGATGGTTATTTTCAAAAACCATTATCAAGCAAACAAAAGGAAAAACTTGAACAATTACTTTTAAAAGCAACTGTTTCATGTGGCTGGGCTTTTACGTGGGTTGATAACCCTGAAATTAAAGAGCTTTTTTATTATATAAATCCTACTATCAAATTACCAAATCGCCAAACACTCTCAGGTCGAATTTTAACCAAAACAGCTAAAAATTCTATAGAATTACAAAAAAAAGATATCCAAGCAGATCAACTTGGTGTTACTTTAACATATGACGGTTGGAAAAATATTAAAAAAGAGAGTTTATTAGAGATCGCATTAATAAATTCAAGTGGCAAAACATTAATTTGGGGCACAGAAGATATTTCAGGAAAGAGAACAAGATGGCCTGAGATTGTGAAAATAACTAACGATCTTTTTATAAAGCTTGAAGAGGATAATATTAAGGTTAATTGTCTCGTAACTGATTCAGCTTCTGAATTTATGGCTGCTCGGTCACGTCTTCGTACGGCTCATCTTGATAAAATTTTTATTCCATACTTCGCGCATCAAATGAATCTTGCAGTTGGAGATATATTTCGATACTCATCAATCCTTAGTACTGTTGCAGAAGAAGCAATTAAGATTGTAACATTTTTTAATAGATCTACATTTTTTTTGGGACGACTTCGAGATGAACAGAGTTTAGTATATAAAAATAAGTATATATCTCTCCTTTTACCAAATGCAACTCGATGGAATAGTCATTATTATTGTTTCTCAAGCCTTATTAAGACTCGTACAGCTCTTAAAGTAAGTTTTTTTAAAAAAAATAGGTTACTGCGCAGACTGCGCATGCAGACTACACGGCAAAATGTGCATTTTGCCGATTACTATGCAGTCACTATGCAGATTACCAAATATGTTTACTTATTAATTTATCTGCATGGTGACTACATAGTAATCAGCAAAATGCGCATACAGACTGCGTGAGCAATTTACTTTCTCTAAATCTACTAGTTTTTATATTTAAATCATTAATGTAATATTTATCTTTTAGAATCTTGGAAATAAAATAGAAGAGGGTTTAGATAATAGTTTTTCTAATTTTCCTGAAGATATTCTTATGAATATTCTTGATAGCAATTGGTGGACTGATTTACGACAACTTGAAGCAATTCTTCTTCCCTACTGTTCAATATTAAATAAACTACAATGTGATCAGGCCAAACTTCATGATGTTTTACATGGCTTTGGATGGATTGTACAAGTAATTGAAAATCTTTCCGATCTTGATCTTCGTACTAATCTTTTAATGCATATAGAGCGTCGATGGCAAACATGGGAGCAACCATTATTGATATTAAGCTTTTTACTACACCCTGAATATCGTGATACTATATTCAATACGCAAATACACAACTTAACTTTTCTTCATTTTGGTCAATAGTTATTATATTATTATAAGGCTTGGTTTGGATGGAATCTGAAGTTCTTTTACAAGAGTTACAACAATACCGTGAACAAAAATACCTATTTCGTGATAAAGATTATTGTCAATTTAAAAAAAAAGATGATATTCTTTCTTTTTGGAATTTTGTTAGTAGATATACTGAAGAATTACATCTTGTTGCACAACGAATCTTTTCAATAAGCGTTAGTTCAGCATCTATTGAATGGTTATTTTCTACTATGGGTTGGTTACATAATAGTCGAAGAAATAAGTTAAAGGTATATATAATATATAAAGATATATGTATTATTTATTTTCTGGGAAGAATGGAAATTATAGCAGAGGTTAGCGATGATTCTAGCACATGGAAGGCCCAAAGAGCCATCTATGTGCTATTTCTTAATATAGTACTAATTCTAATTTAATTTGTAGCATAAAAAGGTGGTAGCAATGTAGTGAATTAATTTATTCACGAAGATTAAAAGAAATTTTATGAGGCTAAAAAAAATTTTATTCAAACACAAACTGCAATGCACGCAACACTGTCCAATGATGATCATGAGTCTAATAATATGGAATCAGAAGATGAGATTGGGTTTATTGAAAGACAAGAAGATATCAGTTCAATTAATGATTGGAAAGAAGCTGTGAATGAATGGAATTCTCTCATAGAAGAAGAAGGAATGGAGGCTATAAGTGAAGATGAAGAAGCGATAAGTGAATTAAATGAAGAAGAGGATGCAATAAGTGAATTAAATGAAGAGTTGGCAGAACCAGATATTGATAATCATCCTGCTATTGCATCAAGTGCTAAGTGGAAATTAGAAACTCTTTTTGATAAAAATAATTTAAAACATCCACCATATATAAAATTATTAACAGAATAAGGTAATAAATATTTATTAGATACGTATTTATAACTGATATTAAATCTAAACACTTTATATATTCTTTTTGAACAGGTTAATAATATCCAATTGCGACTTACACTCTTTCTAGAGAGACATCATATGGTATTAGTTTAATATATCAAGTTTAGAAATTGAATTAAAATAGATAAGCATAAAATATTTATGCACAAACCTTAAAATATTAGTAACTGTAGTTGACTAGAGATTTTTTATATAAAATAAGATAAATAAAAACCGAATTATGTAAATTGTTTTTTAAAAAAAACATTAGGCCATATAAAGTTAATTTCTTGGTTCTCGTAATATAAAATCTTTAAAAAAAGTGACCTGCCACCTAGCTTTTAATTTTATTTTTAAAAAATTATATATAAAAATTTTTTCTTTGATTTATAGCTATTATCATAATTCCTAGGACACCTGTAAAATTGGCCAAACAATTTTTTGGCTGATTCGGTTAAGTTTGTGATTTCATATCGATATGCATATTTTTGGCTGAATACAGAATTATGATACTTTCAAAGCAGCTTCAATAGCAAATAGTTACAAAAAATTAAGAAGGCTTATCATCGAAAAATTGCCAAAACTTAGGTGTTAGCAAGTCTTTTATGAATCGGGTTCTTAGGCACTTTCAAAAATATTGAAAAACTTCTATCACTTTCAAGAAAACCATTATCACCAAACACGAATGATATAAATATCTTAAAATCTTTAATAAATAAAAAACCTGACTAGTATTTGTATGAATTATAGTTCGAAATAGAACTTTGTTGGGATATAAAATTAGTCGCATAACAATTTAAAAAGTTATACACTGACTTAGATATGCGCATAAGAAAGTATTTTATATATACTATATATATGTACTGTATAAATTTATACATATCCATTAAGATTTATTGGTTGACAAGAATAATATTTTTCATAAGTTTTCATACAAACTAAATGCACTAACATGTTGGGTAAAGTATTCAAATAAAAATTTAAATATAATAAGTATAACTTCAAGTTTTGTAACAACAATAATTATTGAACTAATAATGATGTAATAAATTTTATTACTTTTAAACTCACTTTTGATATTTATAGCATTAGCTTTTTTATTCTTCTAAACTGTTTTGCAAGCAAAGTTGCCTGCAAATTATATTATAAATTTGCAATTAAGCTGTTAAATTATATTTAATTACTATTTATAGTATAGTATAATAGTAGTTTATTAAATAAATTTATTAATAAAATTTTTTTTTATAGAATAAAAAAAATTATAATGTCCAATAAATTTATTTGTCCAATTAAATTATATGGACAAATTGGACATTGTCCAAATGTCCAAATGTCCAAATTGTCCAATATTATAATATATCATCTCTGCCATAATGTTGACTATTGATAGTATTTTTGTACTGCTTGCTCTTCAGGAGGGCAGTTGTTATTGTCGTTATACTATTGGTCTGGTAGGCCACATAGGCAGCTATATATAAATCTTTTTTGTGATCCTTGCTTTGAATTTGTGTTTGTTTGTATATATTTAACAGAAACTTGAATTTTTGCCATTTATGATTATCATATAATAGTTATATAACTATTATATGATAAAAATATGATAAAAATATTTTAATAAAAAATATACTAAATATATGATAAACATATATTAAAAATATTATTATAAACTCTTTTTGCAAATCTCTAACACAAAATTTACTTAAAATTCATCCTATCAGGAGAACTTTTTTAGTGCTATTCTGTGTAGATTTGCAAAAAAATTAAATAATAAATTAAATGAAAATTTGTGCAAAACTTCAGACTCACCAGCTGTAGCCATAGAAATTAAAATGCAGTTCTGCGCAAAATTTTAAAATATAAAAAATTTTGCAGTTTTTTACAAAAAAATCTGCAAAAATCTGCATTTTCGCAGGTTTTTGCAGATTTGTACTTATTTAATTCTCCTGATGCCAACAAAAAACGTCTATTTATGCAAAATTTTACTATGTTAACCTAATTATATGCAATAATAAATGTTGCCTGGTTCATCAAAATACACCTAATACTCAAATTTCAAGTCTCTAGCTCTTATACTCATGAAATAAAGATCTAAAATGTTTTTTTAAAAAAAAATCCAAACTTTGCAATATGTTTAGTAAAGTTGCTTTACATACTTTTCTCGTCATAACAAGCTATATTTCATCTCTGTAGCATCAAAATTGATGAAATTACTCTTTAAACTATTCTAACTCTTTTTTACTTACTCTTTACAA